ACCGCAAATGCAATAAGGATAAAAAACAAGAGAAATATGCACAAAGGTTTTTATGTGGTTCGGCCCAAACCAACCCCCAGGACTGAGTCTACGCATAACCAACCCCGGGACGAGAAAATCACTATTTCCACGGACGAGTAAACCATTAGTTGATAAGATTGGTTGCAATCTATACTTACTTTAAGCAATAAAAAGCATACTGATTGTTTTATTTAGATTTTTTGTTACATTTGTTACATGTGTTTTATCATCTTTTGTGTTGTAATTGTAGGTATTCAGACGAGCAATTACCGCCAAAATTGTACGTCGTATTTCTACCATTTTTTCTGATTTTTTTCTGAAATACACCTTCCCATGCAAAGGTTTGGGGGCATATATGTAAAAATTGAAGTATAGGTATTAAATAAGTAAATACATAAGACTTTAAGTGGTTATATGAATAATGTAAATCTTTGAAATATATATAATCTGCTTAATAACAATGAAAATAATATCTATTGGTTATATTTTACCAAAACTCAAATTTATATCGAGAAAATATAAAAACATTGTAAGAAAAATTTGAGTTGCAATTAAAGCAATGAATGTTAAAATTAGTGGAATGTGTCGTAATTTTTGCTAACTTGAACTAGGCCCAAATTCATAATAGCATAGATGAAAGAGTTAATTAACATCAATAAACTTCTGTTTGGAAGTAAGGAATTGATACAAAAATGTACTATTGAAACAACATCAAGATATGAAATGTAAGAAAAAGATGGCGAGAGCCCTTTCTTGCAAGTGCGGGGCAACAAAAACCCAACCCCTTGCTTGGGGGTTACGTCCACGGGAAGGAGATTCCAGTGGCACCTGATGGGAGAATGAAAATAGGCTTGGATTACAACACAACACTTCTCACCATGCAACTCTCATGAGCCCTTAAGTCCATGTTATAGAGGAGGACTAGGGCTTACAAGTAAATAAAGCCAAAAGACTAAATTATCTCTGATTAAAATAAAATACCTTGAAACGATAACCTATACCTCATCTCTTACTTCCAAATAAATGATAGGTGATCAAATGAGCTCCAATCTTCAATTCAGCTGCACCAAGATGATTATATATGTTCCCTCTCTCTCCCGACAGGGGACAAGCCACACGTAGTTCTTCAAAATGTCTGATGTTTCAGTTCTTTTTGTAACTCGGAGTCTCCAGCCCGTCTAGTCATTGTTTTAGGATTTTCCCATTTCCAATGGACCTCTTACTTGAATCGTATGAACGAGAAGGGATTAAAAAAAAAGGATTAAAACGGAGGCTATGTAAACAAATTTGAAGAACCTGGAGAGCTTATGGGAGGTAAATCTCGTGTGATAGGTCAAGGGTGTACGTCTAAACAGGATCGGATCGATGCACCTTGAACCCGATATCCACGAAAAAATGCTCATATAAGCTACCCAAGTAACCAAAAAAGCAAAAGAATGTTTTCTTCTATTGTTAAGACCAACTCCTAGCATGTATCAATTGTCAATTTAGCCTACACTTGTGGACTGTGTTTGTGTAACTCAATTGATGGATGTAGACTTACCATAGCTTAGAGAGCAAACAAAGAATGGATTAAAGCCCGAGTTTGATATCTATCAAGATGACACTTTAAGATTTCAAGATCGACTGTGTGTTCCAAATCAGGAAGGACTTCGACTGAAGATACTCGGTGAGGCACATTCTACTCCATATTCAGCTCATCCAGAAAGTACTAAGATGTATCAAGATCAAAAGAAGCTATTTTGGTGGCTAGGTATGAAAATTGTTGTAGCCGGGTTCGTAGATAAGTGTTTAACCTGTCAGATGGTTAAGGTCGAACATTAGAGACCTAGTGGCATGTTGCAACTCTTATGGGAGGAGATTTCCATGGACATTTTGGTAGTCTTTTCGAGATCAAAGCACAAACTTGATGTTATATGGTTTGCGGTCGATAGACTAACTAAGTCAACACATTTTCTACCCATCAAGCAAATTTATTCAGTAGATAAACTAGTCAAGATCTACATAAAAAATGTTGTTCGACTTCATGGAATTATAACTGTCACTGTATCAAATCGAGCGAGATCAAAGCACAAACTTGATGTTATATGGTTTGTGGTCGAAAGACTAACCAAGTCAACACATTTTCTACCATCAAGCAAATTTATTCAATAGATAAATTAGTCAAGCTCTACATAGAAAATATTGTTCAACTTCATGGAATTATAACTGTCATTGTATCAAATCGAAATGGAAGATTTAGCTCCAGGTTATGGAAACAAATGCAAGAAGCTATGGGCGTGAGATTAGACTTTAATACCTCTTTTCATCCTTACACAGATGGACCGTCAACTATGTGATCAAGCTAACGAGATAGACTTTAATAGCTCTTTCCCATCGTAAGAACCAAACATTGTGGACCTCAACTTGGTGATCAAGCTAACGAGAAGGATGGTTGTATGTAAGAACAAAAAAATCTTACATTTTTCTTCCTGCAATCATGCGATTCTTCTCTTTCCTTTTTTCTACTGACTTCCCAATCCGGACTCGCAATATCTTTCCTTTTTCTCTCGATTCGTTGTGTCGCTTTCTTGTTCTTCTTCTCGCCTTCTTCTACCGCCTCTTCTTCTTATAAGATTAGAGCATGGGTTAAGTCAAAGAACAAACCTCACCTCTCTGTCGCCTCTTCTATCCTTGCCGCCTTCACGCGCGTCAGCCCTTCTGAATCCAGTATATCCATCTCCCAACGGGATTTGCTAAATCTCGAAGTTAAGGCAAACTGAAGGACGGATCGAAGAACTGAAGATGCCATTTTTTTACCTCTGGTTTATGAGATTTATGTGTCATGTCTGTAAATTTCCTGACAAGTTAATTCAAAAATTATAAATTCCTCTATATCACCAGTAAAACAAAAACAAAATATACTTTTAATAATAATAATAATAAATAGAAGGTCAAGTTAATTGCATCTAATTCCATAAATAAATAAGTTTAATTTCATACTTATTTTATTTTCTAATAGTGTAGGATTGGTAGTTGAATCGTTGAATTCATAGAGATATGATTTGAGGTAAACCCTTCATAGCCATGGGCGTTAAATTCATTGGTATTTTTGTCTGTCACACCATTGCTACTCCAGTTTTGTACTTGTTATAGGCTTCAATTATGGCTCTTGATGAGATTACTATCAATCTTAATTTATTGTTGCAACATTTCTTGTATATTTGAATTAATCCTGCAATTATAATCTTTTTTTTTTCTACATTTGTATGAATTTACATTTTTTCATATCACAAACCTGCAAGAAATATTATAATTTTTACATGTTTTACTTGTGGGATAATTTGGCGTACTTGTGTGTGATGGTAAGTTGGTCGGTAGAACTCTTGTATTTTTGGTTGACGAGCCCACAGAGTGATGATTCATTAGAAAATTGTCGGATTTCCTTGGGTAGATACTGATCTTCTCAGTTTCAATGTGCCTATTAAAATTGACTATATATAAATATAAATGAAAGTTAAATAATAAGAAACTTAATAATTCTTTTGTGGCGATTCAAAGATTATTTGAATATAAATAAGGTGCATTTACATTCATACCACCCAATTCTTGTAAATTTGCATCTCTTAACACCAAAATTTTACTTTTTACATTTATGCAACCCAAATATTTCATATTACATAAAAAAATACCACTATTTTTTATTCTTACAAAGTTATATACACCTTTTTACAGGTAGGTAAGGTGGCATGTATGTAAAAATTGAATTTTAGGTGTTAGATATGTAAATACATAAGAATTGATTGGCATGAAGGTAAATTTTACTCTAATAGAAACACTCAACACGTTCTGTTTCCATCAATTTATATTTTATCTCTACATTTCTCTCGAACACTTATAGTTGATTGGGTAATATCTTCTCCTTTTGTCTATTGCTATCATGAAAATTTACATACATACCACACAATCCTTATGTATTTACATATCTAACATCTGAACTTGCATATTTACACTTATAACATGAAAATATTTATTTACTGCTAAAGAGTAGAAATGGTTCTTTTTATGTGACATTAAAGAATGATTGTTATAAATACAAATATAAGACTTTAGGTGTCACATACAAGACATTAAAGAATGATTGTTATAAATACAAATATAAAACTTTAGGTGTCACATACATAAATACATAAGAATTGTGTGGTATATATGTAAATGCCCCACAAGATAAATGAACATAAGAGATCTAAGAAGATAAGGTGTTCTCATGGCCACAGAGAGAGCTAACCCTGTAAAGAAACTGGAGTTCTTCGAAGTCAAGGGATGCGAGACCGCCTTCGAGATTGGCTTCCTCATCGGAAAAAGGTTTTCCAATCTGATAAAGAGCAGGATTGCTTCTGATCTCATACTCCAAGAGCAACTCCTGCCATTTTCTCAAACAATTCAGGCAAAACCACTTATTGATGAACTCTGCAACAATAACAAGCAAAAGTTTCCAAGATATTGGGAAGAGCTTGAGGGCACTGCAGAAGGGAGTGGTGTCTCAGTTCTAGATGTGAGTTGTTTGTTGGTTTCATCTTTAGAAAGTTTTACATATATACCGCTCAATTTCTATGTATTTACATGTCTAATATCTAAACTTCAATTTTGACATATATGCCACATTGCCTATGATTGAAAGGGTAAGGTGTATTTCATGTTTTAACAGTTACAAAAGTGGGGTTTTTGATGTGATATGATAGATTTGAAGGGGATGAATGTAAAAAGCAATGTTTAGATGTTAGATATGTGAATACATAAGAATTGGGAGCTATGTAAGACAATGCCCCTAGGAAGACTTACATACATACCACTTGATTCCTCTGTATATACATATCTAACATCTAAACTTCGATTTTTATGTATATGCCACCTTACCTATGCATGAAAAGGTGTATTTCAGTTTTAAAATGTTAAAAAGTGATATTTTTTGATGTGATATAAGAGATTTGATTGGATGAATGTAAAAAGTAAAGCTTAGATGTTAGATATGTAAATACATAAGAATTGCATTTAACAAATGGAAGTAAAATGATGGAAAGCTGGTGATTCTGTGCAGCTGGTGTTGCTGAACTTCAGGAAGGAAATTTTACCTTTCGTTCCGAAAATGCGGCGTACAGCAAGCGATGAAGATAAGAGTAATGATTGCTCGGATGTTCTTATTGTCAATGATTCAATGGCAATTGCTGCACATAATGAAGATGGGAACATAGCTTTAATTGGTCATAGGTAAGTGCAATTCTGCATTTTTTTACGGAAGAAAACAAACAAATTTGAGCTTAGATGTCTGTTGTTAATGGATGTGCAGCTATTTGGTGAGGGTTATGCTGTCAAATGGCTTATCATTTACTGCTTTAACTTATGCTGGAGAGCTCCCAAGCTGTGCATTTGGCTTCAACAGCAATGGAATAGTTAGATATTGCTTCTATCTTTTTCTCCTGAAAAGACTGTCAAACAGCATAAAAAAAATGAAGATTTACATACACACAGCTCAATTCCTATGTGCGACGGGAATGCTTTCTTTTTTCTCTTATTCCTAATTGTGAATATATATTACATATTTATACACAGTCCCAACACTCTAAAGTTAGGGATAAGTCCAATATAATAAATATTTTCTGATTAGATCTCCTCTAATTAGATTGCTTAATATCAAGTTTCATAATATACAAGTTTCCTAAATATATAGGGTGTTCAAATTTATTACTTTCCATAACACTCCCCTCAAGCTGCAACATAGATATTTATTATGCACAACTTATTACCAATATAAGTGACAATAGATCCATTAAGGACCTTTGTGAAGATATTCCGTAGTTGTTTCCTAGTCTTCACATGAGCTGGAGAAATTAGATTATGTTGAATCTTTTCACGAACAAAATGACAATTTATCTCAATGTGCATAGTTTGTTCATGAAAGACAGGGTTTGAGGCAAGTCAAAACACAGCTTGATTATCACACCACAACTATGCTGGAACTGTCATCTCAAAACCCATTTTGGTCAAAATTTGAGATACCCAAATCAATTCACTCGAAGCTTGTGTCATTGTTCGATATTCAGATTCAGCACTAGACCCTGACATAATTTTATGTTTATTACTCTTCCAAGGACCATATTACCACCAACAAAGAAAAAATATATAGTAATGGATCTTCAATCAAACTTAGAACTTGCCCAATTTGCATCAGAGAAACATTCATAACCTCTATGTTCATGATCCTAATATAAAATACCATGTCAAGGAGCTCTCTTAAGTTAACGTAGTATTTGATTTAAAGCTGGCCAATGATGGATTATCGGGGAAAACGTAAATTGATTTATAGTGCTAACTGAATGCGCAATGACATGACGATTTCCTGTGAGGTAGTTTAATTTTCCCACTAACTTCCTATACCGTTCAGAATCATTAAAAACTTTCATCCTTGGTAAGTTGTTAATTATAAAGCATTGCGTTTTCATCCTTGGTAAGTTGTTAATTATAAAGCATTGAAGATTTGACCCCTAATTTTCCCATATACTTCAACACCTCAATACCCAAAAAGTACTTAAAGGAACCCAGATCTTTAGTGTTGAACTGGTTTTGAAGAAATGATTTCAATGATAAGATTTCTTGCACATCGCTTCCAATAATAATAATAATATCAATATAAAATACCTATAGAATGATTTTCGAAGCGGATTGCTTTAAGAATGCAGTGTGATTATTGCTACTTTTCTTCATACCAACCTCTTTTACTGCTTAGCTTAATTTTTTGAACCATGCTTGAGGGCTTTGCTTCAATCCATATAAGCATTTTCAAATACGACTTACTTTTTCAGACTCCCCCTGAGCAACAAACCCAGAAAGTTGCTTCATGTGTACCTCCTCTAAAAAATCACTATATAGAAAATTGTTCTTCACAACTAGTTGGTGGAGAGGCTAATTATTCATTGCGGCCATGGAGAGAAGTAAACAAATTGAAATCAACTTAGCTATCAAAGAGAATGTGTACAAGTAGTTGATCCCATAAGTTTAAGCATAGCCCTTAGATCCAACTGAGCATTGAAACGAGCTACAAATTCATCAAAATGAAACTTAATTGTAAAGACACTTACAGCCAATGGTCTTCTTCCCAAAAGATAGTTCAAACTGTTCTCAAGTTCCATTTTTGGACAAGGCATTCATCTCATCAAGCATCATTGCCTGCCATCCAGAATAAGATAGAGTTTGTTGAGCAGATCTTGGAACCTCAACAGAGTCAAGAGAAGCAACAAACAAGCAAGAAATTGAAATAACTGAATATAGTTGACACAAAAGGAAATGGGATAAGCGCATTGATGTTTATCTCTTCGAAGAGCAATTAGTAAATCAAGTTCGCTGGAATGAGAATCCACTGAGGAAAATGATACCAGTGTCGGACTAAGACCAGGGGAATGAGAACTTATTTTATAAATATTTGTGATAGGTGGTACAGGCTGAGGCACTGGAGGTAAAGCTGGAGCATGATCTAAACTTATGATGCAATACATTAACAACTCATCAGAAACATGTGAGGATTTAGGCACAGACGAGTCACCAAAGAATGAAGTTTTTTCATGAAATGTGATATCAGCATAAATCATGCACCTATTCAAGGAGGAGAAAAACATTGATACCCTTTTCACATACGAGAATATCCTTGAAAGACAAACATTAATGACTTAAGGTCCAGTTTAGAAGTTTGTGGATGAATATTACAAACAAAATAACTACACCCAAATATGTGTGGTTCAATAGAAAAGTGGGAGTAGTTGGAAGCAAAACTCCGTAGGGCGTCTGATTGCGTAGAGCAGTAGAAGACAACCGGCTGATCAAAAAACATGTAATGGAGACTATATCAACCCAAAACTATTCATAAATATTCATTTGAAACAAACGGGCTCTAACAGTCTCAAGAAGACATCTTTTTTTTCTTTCAGATACTCCATTTTGGGATGGAGTATCGACACAGGATAACTGGTGAAGCATCTCATTTTGTGTCATGTAAGTCTGAAAGAGTGCCGAAAATATTCTTTAGCATCATCACTTCTAAGAATCTTAATTGAAACATTGAGCTGAGTTTTAATTTTGACACAAAAAATATAAAAATATGACAATAACTTAGTACGAGATTTGATAAATTAGAGCTAAGTCATACCAGAAAAAATATCCACAAAAGTGATAAAATATCAAAATCAATTAGATAAAATAAAATAAGGTTCCCAAACATCAGAATGAACCAACTCAAAAGCTATGACATACTCTTTTGTTAACTCTAAGAACAAAATAAAAACAATAGTGTCTCGTGAATTGACACAACTCACAATCTAAAAAGAATAATTGTTAAAATTGAGGGTACAACTTTTTCAGCATTGATACTAACGGATGTCCCAATCAACAATGAATCTCAAAAGAAGATAAGGCGTTGAAACATGCTACTTGTAGAGATACTTCTCACGATCCTGCCCAATATTTAGAATTAACTAAAGCGGATACTGCGGTCGAACGGTATTAACATTTAACTACTATCCACATTTTTAAAACTTTCAATAAATATAAATGAGCCTGTAATATTCCACAAATACGACAAGTAAATTTAAATCATCCAACAGTAACAGAAAATCTACAAGTAAAATCTCAAGCCATACGATCATATATGTCTATCCAAAAGAAACGGTATAAAAAAAAATTACAAACACATCATGCTAGCACCTATCAGCTATAGCTCTTCCATAAACAGGTCTTTCCTAGTAGGCATATCAACCTAAAACATTTCTTCTCATGAAAGAAAATATTAATTTTAATTGTAAGTAAAACTTAATGAGTAATTATATTCTAATATGCATTAAATTCTTATGTTATGTTATGCTATACATGAATGATCAAAAGAAAATGCATTAAAACTTTAAATTTATTATTTCCCGTTCCATTTTAAATATTTACCATTTCTTACTTGTTTAAAACTCATAACAAAATTACCGTCATGCCCAAATATATCATCAAAAATGTGTCTGAAGGCACCTTAAAAATGTATCCGAAGACACCCTTAAAGTTATATCCTAAGGAACCCTCAAATTGCACTCGAAGGCAAACGTTTATCATTTCTTTTAACGATTTAACTTTTATTTCATTTCATTTAAATTACATCCTTATAAAGACATTAAACATTCTTTTTTTATTTCTCCTTTCATTTCTTTCATTCTAAAGCAATACAATGCATATAATCATAAAATAGTTTTCTAAAGCATTAAAGAAATTTTTTATTTAATAAATTTTAAATTTAATACATATAAGAAAATATTTACTCACCTTAGCCTTAAGAGATCTCTTACATAGTTTAACCCTTCACTTCACTTATTTGGATAAGCAACCAGTATTAATGATTGTGGTATCATTTGATAAGACTTCTATTCTTAAAAGAAATAATTAATGCATCTAATAACAGATAATTAAAATGACACATAGGTAATTATATAATTTGTTATCTTAAAAGTTTGATTAGCTTCCTTGAACAAAATTTTTCCTTTTTTCTTTTACAACTTTAATTGATTCAGCCTCCAACCTTCAACTTTAATATTTGATTAATTTAAATGTGTCATTAGCATTAATAAGTAAACCAATAATTTCAATTTAAGCAAATTTACATCATAAAAGATTAAAAACCCAAAAGAATTGGTTCTTACCGTTGAGCATGAGCCAATGCTTTTCTCCTATGCATCAATTGCATCCACTTACAATATCTGGTTTAAATTCATAACTCATAAGTGTGTGTGTGTGTGTGTGATCAATTGCATCCACTTACAATATCTGGTTTAAATTTAAAATAGCTCACATTTTTACCTTACAAGCATTCGGTCGGCTGTCCTAGCTTATGCATGAAAACCTTTGGCTCTCCTTCCTCTACTCCTTCCCGCAGCTCGCGCCTCTTCTCCTCTCGACAAAGCCATGCACTTTACCTCCTACCTCGGCTTCTCTTATCCATCGCCTTCATCTACTCTGTCGACTTCTTCCATCGCACACAAGCACAGCATCACTTCTCCACGCACGACGCAGGCTTGTTCTTCCTCTTTCGCACAGTAGCAGCGCACGAGAACAAAGGCGAGACCGTTCGACTAGGGCGCTAAGATTTCATTCTTCCTCCTTTGACCTCCTCCTTCGATCGTGGCTCGGTCCAAGTAAGCCTTCAACACCGCCGCCTCCCTCTCCTTCCTCTGCCTTTGATCTCGACACAAATCACAAATTTCTCTTCTCCTTCACACCACCCGACACTACACAGTGGTCGCATGCTTCTTCCTAAGACTTCCTCCTTTTTTAACTAGGGCGCGGTACCTCTCGATCTCTTCTGCTACTCTCGCCCCATACTGATCATTCGATGGTTAGAATGGTGTAATACGACTCGAATAGTTATCTAAGTGCCTATTTGCATTATTGTTATTCTTATTATTATTATTATTATTACAATGCTTCCTTATTCACAATATACAGCCCTGTGCTTCTCATTTTTTTACCAATAATCTTCTTCGAAATAAAATTCTGAATTAGATAATTGTCAGAAAAAATAAGATATAAAATTAAAAGTACATATAATTTTACTTAAACAAGATTAAAAGCGAGTTTAAGTTAATTGAGAAGATAAGTTAGAGGCATTGTGGGTGTAACATTGATGTTCTCCGAATCAACAATATTAGAGGTGGATGTATTTGCTAAAGTGAAGGAAGAAAAATGCTTATAAATGTAGAAAAGAGTTTTGGATTACTTGTCATATGATCTATAATATCAAAATCAATGACTCGTTATGTGGAAGAGGAAAGAAGACAAATATCATTGTTAAAGGGGGATTCCTTGGATGATTCCTGAAATTTGATGAAGTTAACATGTTTATTTACAAAGACCGAGAGAGTATGACTCTGAGATGCTTCATTACTAGTGACCATGTAGCTAATTCAAAACTTTTGATTATTTTTTAGTAATATCAAACACATTCTCTCGTATGACTAAGTTCATGACAGTAATAACACACCACCTTCGAAACTTGATTTCCATAATTTAGAAATTTATTTTGTAATTGTCATGAGACTGAGGTTTACTGATGATTACATTCTTCTGACTAGCAGGAGCACTATGTTTTTGTATAAATGAAGCCTGAGAGCTCGGAATCGTACGCAATACTCTAATATATGTTTCATATGATTTGACACGTTCATACTGAGAGTTAAGACCAGCTATAAAACTCATAATAGTCATTTGTTCTCTTTGAACCTTTTGAATATGGACATCATAATTCAAGGACAATAATGCGTTCGATTCTTCAAACCCACATTTAAAGTGCATGTGATACGTGTTAACAGATTGATCTTGTTGCTCAACTCACTGAGGCCTTCTAATGGAACCAAGGAACAAAACAATGATTATAGCACAGACAAAGCGATGTAGATGGCACAGGAAGAAGGTTATGACATCGTTTGAATCCTTCAAACAAAACCAAAGAACCGAACGATGATGTTGAGCGATGTAAAGGATGAAATTGAAGAGTTCTAGGGATGCTGACAACAAAGCTGAAGTTGTCGCCTGTTTTGAAGCTGACGACATCGTTTGTGTCTATAGAACAAAGCAGATGCAGATGAAACTATCTGACGATGATCTGATACCATGTGACGGGAAAGCTTAAATTTTTCTCTTATTACCAATTAAAAACATTTATTACATATTTATAAACACTCCCAACTCTCTAGATTAGGAATAACTCTAATATAGAAAATATCCTTTAATTAGATATTCTCTAATTATGTTGTCTAATATCAACTTTCCTAGTATACAAACTTCCTAATATACAATATTCAAATTTATTACTTACCACCACACCACACTGTATTTACATATCAAACGCCTAAACTTCCATTTTTACATGTATATCACTTTTCGTATGCACGAAAAGATGTACTTTACTTTTGAAAAGTTAAAAAAAGTGATATTTTTCATGATATGAAAGATTTGGGTGGTATAAATCCAAAAAATAAAGTTTAGGTGTTATATATTTAAATACATAAAAATTTGGTGGTATGTATGTACATACCCCAAATGAAGGACGATTTACATATATGCCTCTCAATTTACATATCTAATACCTAAACTTCAATTTGTACAAATTAGAGAAAGTCATCTTAGATGGTTTTGTCACATTAAACGTCGATCTGATTAGGAGAGTAGATGTTTTAGATTCGACTTGTGTTAAGAAAGACAGAGGTAGACCTAGGAAGACTTGGGCTTATTGTATTAAAAATGATCTTAATTTACTAGAACTATATGAAAATATGACACTAAATAGGATGCAGTGGAGAAAAAGGATTCATGTAGCCGACCCCACGTTGTGAGATTAAGGATTTGTTGTTGTTGTTGATGTTGTTGTTGTTGTTGTACTATTTTTCCTATGCATAAAAATATGTACTTAGCTTTTATAAAGTTAAAAAAAAGATTTTTTTTATGTGATACAAAGATTCAGGTAGCACAAATGTAAAAAAAACAAAGTTTTAGTGTTAAACATGTAACTACACAAGAATTTGGTTGTATGTAAATACCCCAAAAATGCGAAGCTTTTTTGTGATTTTGCAGGCATTTACTCTCAATGCAGTGCCTCCGACACCCGATGAAATCTTGGCGCGAGGCATTGGTCGAAACTTTATATCAAGAGGTCTGTTAGAATCAACTGACCTGGAGGATGCATTAAATGTGGGTTATGTTGATTTTCCTTACTAAAGACAATGCTGAACTACAAAAAAGAACTGATGATGTAGCCTTTTTCTACTTCCAGCAAATTATATCAGCCAATGTCTCCGTTGGGCACAGTTATAATCTGGTGGACGTCAAAAGCCGAAGGATAGTAAACGTAGAAACAGCATCTAGAAACCGTTATGCCTCTCTGGAAGTTCGCGCAGAGCAATTCTTCCATGCAAACATGTATATCCAACTTCAAGTAAAGCAGGTAAGAAATATACAGCAAAGACTTTCGTGCATTTAAATTTAAGAATTTAGAAGTTGAGATCACTTTAGTTTTAATAAAGGAACAAAATGAGAGTTCAGTTAGACGGCATAGAAGAGCGGCGCAATTTTCAGTAGAAACAAAAACAGAAGCGCTTACCATTCTTGGAGATAGTGAGGATGAAGAGTATCCAATTTACATGCAAGGTAATCAATATGCACTCTGAGACAATTGAGTAAAATGCCAAAGTAGGTTCTTTGACTGTATACATGGAGCGATTATTACATCCGAACATAAATTTGTGTCCGGAGTCCAGTGGACACTTACCACGTGGCAATTTTGCTCCACTGTAAACACTAGTTTAGTAAGTTTTTTAGAGAGGTGGGGCTCACTTGCTACATGACAAACTCTCACTGGAATTTATGTCCAAGTCCGGATGTAATAATTTTTCGTTTACATGTGACCATTTTAGTCTCAAAACTTAAAACATATCAAATTAGCCCCTATACTTTTTAAATAGGGGCTGAAATAGTCAAACATTTTTAGCTCATATAAAAAGATTTTGGGGACTAAATTAGCAGTTTTATAAACTTTGGAACGAGAACGTACACCCGCACAAAGATAGGGGACTATTTTAACACTTGAGGCAATTTTAATATGTTTTCTGATTGATCTGCAGGATATATATATATATATTCCATACATAACAAACATCCCTGAAATTGGCAGGTCCCACGCTGTACACTCTATGCACAGTGCTGATAGATCTAGATGAACAAACTCTCTCAATATTTGAAGGAAATCCAAAGAAAGGAGAAATTAGTTATGTGCTCCCGATCTCTTGAAGTTCAGAAGTTCCAGATTTAACCTTCCCTCGGTGACTGAAAACCTTGGACTAATCCAGAATAAGGTTTTAATACAGAGCCATGGCTTCCACCAAGCCTGTCATGCTGGTTCATAAAGCCCCAACATGGGCCCATCAATGCAACGCACTGCTGCGACCTGTACAATAACAAAGTGCATCGGATATGAAGAAAATGCTATTCCAGGAAATTTATCTTTTAGTAGGGGCATTTACGTGCATACCATCCAATTGCTATGTATTTACAAATCTAACTTCATAAGTTCATTTTTTGCATTTATACCAAAATTTTCACATCACATAAAGAATAACCCTTTTGTATGGCGATGTTGCTGAACGGGAAAGAAAATTCTGAACCACTTTAGACGTTTGATAATAGAAACATCAAATGATAACATAAAACAAAATTGGTTGCGTACTTAAATAGTGCATACAGTCTGAATAAAACGTATCGGTTTCATTTCATAGGAGTAAATAACATAGGTGATAAGAAACAGAGATTATATGAGAGAATCTCATAATGCAGTACTTTATGATACGGCAACAGAGAATACATACTCTCTGAAATTACAAGAACAGTTGGGGCTTATTTAGAATCAATTTTGTTTGTTTGTTTCTTTTGTTTTTAAGAATATGATTGTTTAGTGTATTTTTTACATGCTTTTTACTTTTTGTTTCTTAAAATAAATTAACATGCTTTCTAAAACTCTTAAAATAACTTTTAGGCATTTTGAGTCCAATCAAAACAAAAACCAAACAAACACAAAACAAATAATAGAAAAAAAATTAGCCCCACACTGCCCCTTAATTACTTATAAAAGTAAAGGTATCAAAACATAAATAGACTTCTTTTTTATTTACATGGAATGAAAAATCTTTTGGCAAGGAATGTAGGGTGATGCAGAAAAGTATTTGATCCCAAAACATAGAGCAGAATTTATAAATATAATCTTAGAAGATACAGAGGAAATGGCCATAAGAAATTCTACATAAAAATTGAGTCGGCGTGGACCTCAAGGACACCTATTGGAAGGGGAAAGGGGGAAGCATGATCCACCGCAGCCTATCGAGGACAGCCAAAAGTCATCAAAGCAGATCAAACCACTCCTGCATAGGGGAAAGCGACATGCCTTTGAAGAGTAAAATTGAATGGGGAACTAAAGACATAAGGTTCCAAGAATATTCACCAAAATCATGCTCAACTGAACAAAGGAATCGCTTGTCATCCCGGCTCAGTAACCGCCTAGCTGCACTCATAGGATTCATAGTTCTTATTTATGTATGAACAGTGTCCCTGCCATATCTATGTATCCTAAGGTATAGTATGTAAATATCTATCAACCGAGCCCTATAAATAACAGGCTGCCTCAATAACAAAAGAGGGAGGAGTGGGGGAAGAAATTTTTGGCTATCAATTACGGTGCTATTGGTGCTATTGCTCCTCCTCTCTCTCTCTCTCTCTCTCTCTTATTTGTCTAAAGCTCTATTCCTTAGGCCAAATAATTGTTGCATTGTCGCACCGCTACTTTCTCTCATTCCTTACTCCTGTCTTTTAAATAACTATGTTGCATCCCTATTGCGTGTTGTTAACTTTACTGAATTCAGACTCATTGCCATATTTATTTTGCAGCCTCTTTTCACGCTTATAGGATTCTCATGTCGCCTACTGCCTCCTGCTATTTTCATTAGAATCTCGTAACTAATTCTTCTCATGTTCACTGTTTTGAGAGGAAAAAAAAACCTATTTTGTCAAAATTCTTATGCAATTCAATAAGTGAACTTTATGGAAAAATATTCATATTATTGGAATTCATAGTAGATGTATTGAAATATATTAAAGAAGACCTTTACAGATTTAGCATAGTTTCATATTTTGGGTCTTTGTAAGTTATAAATAGGATCCGTATGTCTGGGAAAAAGTAATGAATAGTAAATATTGAATAACTTATTCAATTTTACTCACTTCTTATGTGCTTTTGTTGGATGTGTGTTCTTGGGGTACTTTACAGGTTCAGATGTGTACTTCTAGGGGGGAGGCTTATATAAGAGCATAAGGCATGATCCTAATTACCTTTAAGATAATTTATATCATTCATTTTGTTCTTCAATTATTCACCCAAAGGTTTTGCATGGTAATTAAAATTTTATCAACAAAGATGCAATGTTTAGTTTTTTGACAAGTCAACTTAATTTACTGTTAAAATGTTATGTTAATCAATACTTATTAAACACAATGTTTTAATGATTGTTAGATTATCTTTTGAAAAGAATAAAGCACATTTTCTCTCCTTGCATTAAAAGTGAGAAGCTTTTGCTATTGAAAAAGTAAGCTTTGAACTATGCTCTTCTTTAGCTTTCATGTTGCATGCTATCCAAAATTGCAAAAGAAACCTCGGACCTTATCCATCCTACATAATAATGTTTTTTACTTTCGTCATTATGTTTAGCCATAAGTTTAAGATTATGAAATTAACTCTGCACAAACCGTAAAGCACAAATTATGGCTAAGTCCCCCTTTTAACTATGTTTTATAACAAGATTGTGTGTTGTTTGCTAAAAAATTGTACCATTAATGCACATTTATAGCCAAGCTTCATCATCACCATCCTCAAGTCCTCCTCCATGTCAACTCATCATCATCATCTCATCCACTTAAAGCTAATTATTTAAATCCTTTGCTCATTTAATTGCATAATGGATTGCATATAAGGTTAATGCAAATTTTGGAAATTTTTTTCTGGTACCTTTAGGCAATCAACATTTGGCCTACTATGTCTTATTAACATGTTTTCTACATTAACTCTATACCCATGCATCAATGCATCACATGTTCTATGATAAAATGTCCACATCATTCATATATGCCATCTATAATATTATCTTTGATAGATGCTACTAACAATCTATCCCAATGATTCAAACTTAGATTTGGCCTACTGATAAACTCTGCTGTCTTGTCACTCTTTCAATCATATTCTTATGGCCATTTCTTCCATGGCACCATTTCTTCCGCAACCAACTTGCTAATCCCGTATAGGGTAACAATTCCTTACAGGCGCACAATCCGCCGTATCAAAACACATATATCTATCAAATTAAAGCAGAACTAAAAAATTAACCCTAAATCTAGCTTCAAGCATCCCAATTCCAGAATGCATCAAGAAATAGCACAAATTTGTTGGAGAAAGAAAACGCCGGCTTCGTGGGATCGCCAATAGAAGGGAAATTTACAAAAATACAGAATAATGGGAGGGTATTTCTGCCTTCAATTCTAAGAAACTCTTTCAATTTACTAAATAGCGATAAATCGCGCACCTATTGGAATGCACGAGAGCAAGTTTGAGAGGGCCGGACTGGAGTTCCGCCCATCGGAGGGTGCAAACATTGACGGCGAAATCCAATCCTTGCGAGTAGAAACGTGCAGCTTTAGGCACGCCCTTGTGCAGCTGAAGCACCCAGCTGAAAGTGGTCGCCATTGATATAGAGAGAGAGAGAGACGCTGAGAGCTATTGTACCGTCTGGTATTGGTTCTCATAGATATGATTCGTGTTGAAGTCATGGATTTGACCCATTATAGTCTGATGTGAAGCATGTCATCATCTCAATAGTGGATTCAAAATTGGAAGAATTATATGCATACCACTCAAATCCATGTATATACATGTGTAAACTAAATCTTTTAAACTTCAATAATAAATGAGCCGACACGAACAACACTTTATTTGATCGTGTTCAATTTATTTTAACTCAAAATAAAAAATTATAAATATTATTTATAATATTTTTTAAACTTCAAATGCATGTTAAATCTTTGCCAAGCACCCCCTCCCCTCCCTGCCCCCCAACAAGTCCAAGCACTTTCACGCCTAAACCTAGAAGTGCCTTGTAAAGTCCAGTGCCTAAGCGCCCAACCTTAAAAATATGCACTCTAAGAGTAGGACAAAGCCATTTTCCAATAGAACAAAGTGAGTGGAAACCTAGCTCTTCAACCAGCCACCTAGGAGCTTGAAGCAAGAAATTGTGTGCCTAGGTCAGGTGCTCTGACGCCCAGTTCAGGCATCCCGACATCTGGCACTCAGTTTAGGCACCTTGATGCCCAGACAGGCATCTTAATGGTTTCTATGATTTTGAGATGTTCTGAGCAGTGGGAAGAGTTAAATGTGATGGAATTTTGATGGAGGGTCTCTCTTAAGTCATTTTCTCTTAGTTTTTTTAGTCTTTTTAGGGAGAAAATTTTTGCAGTAATTATGTTCTAATGTAAGATTAGATGTCTAAATCTTATAGCCGTCAATATGATTTTATCTTATGTTTTTATCATAGAAAGATAAATTTAATAAGGCTAAGTAAGATTTAATTATAGATAATAAATAAAGGTGCCAAGGAACTTCATAAAATTTTGAAAATGTCAGTGACTCCCTAATAATTGACCTCTAACTATAATTAATACCTCTTTTATATATAGATTCCCAAACATTTAGACTTAAATTGGCTATAAATAAAACTAACTCATCAAATATATAGAATTT